AAGTATACCCGCAGTTGCTAACGTAAAAAGTATTATATTTAACTAAATGTATAAAGTAGTATATTTGAAGAGCATGGTTGTTTATTAATTGTTCTCTATAAAACTTCAGAAATTTGTTAAAAAATAATACATGGCAGAGCGATAAAAATCACAAACACATAGTTAAAGCTGATGCGTCGCGTTATACGTTGATAATTAAAATAATATTGTATGAGACAATAATGCAAAATTATTGGTAATAAGAAGAGAGAAACAAATTAAACATAATTAAATGCAAATACTTGCGCACACACATCCTAAATATAAATATATTTCAGCTCATTCTTTTCAAACGCAATAACGATCACAGCGATAAGCACCTCGGTATTCAACATATTTAGAAATATCCATGTCGACTGTTACATAAAGACTGACGTCTGCTCCTTTTTCATGTCTCGAAGTTACCTCCTATTCAGTAAAATATAATTTGTCGCGCATGCTCTAAATACAAGTTCGTAAAAGTGCCGAACGATCACAACTTGCAACAAAGTGTTTTAAATATTCTACAGCAACCCTTGTTTCAAGTTTTCACCATAAAACATCGCAGAAACTGTTCTCGAAGAAAAATTTTTGTAATGATAGGTCAGTGAAAAAGGGTGCGAGTGTATATCCATTACATTCACATTTGTATCTTATAACTTTACTATAGTTAGCAACACGCTATATAGAGTCTATCAAGCATCTATATATACAATACCTACACTTCGTACAACATATCTGAAAATTTCGGAGTTGTTTTATTGTACAATAAAAATGTAATAAAAAGATTTTTCAATATTTTAAATAAATATTCAATACAAGTTGATTAATACTAATAATAAATGACGGGATTTGGATGTACATATGGCTTTAGGTTTATAAAAGATGTGGATCTTTGTAAATAAATAACAATTTAAGTTTAATTTAATATCAAATTGTTACATTAACTTTATAAAATTTTCAATAGCATTCCATCAAATCGTACAGCAACTTTTACAATTCATTTGTAAATGATTTATGTTTATACTTACGCGATTTTTAAACTAATTTATCGTATTCTGTAAAAAATTACACGATACCAAAAAAATGTAGATTTTTTTGTTAACTTCTCGTTGTATGCAGAACGGATATGTAACCGGCTGATGTTTTTACTAGCTAAGAAACAAAATTTTTATTAATAATATAATTAATAATATTAACTAAATAGAAATAAGTAAAATAAAAATTTTCATTATACATATAAATTATTTCAGTATAAAATAATAATCAAATATTAAAACATCTTACACCACAAAAAGTAGCCATTGTCATGGGAAATATTTTTCCAGCGGTTAGATAGACCGGTTTAGTGCTTCTTATCAGAAGAAGCAACAAGTCTTTTGCAATTTTTGGATCCACTGAAAGCCATTCATTATCATACGCCGCAGAATATATCCCATTACACTTAAAAATATCAAAGACATATTTTGTATTAAATATTGTATTTTTATTATTTTATTTCTCATAATAAAATAATAATTAACTTTCAATTACCGATTAATTAATTTATATAAATTATAATACATTTATTAACAAATATTTATTTATGCATAGTGCAAAATCTTTTTTATTTTTTTTTATTAGTTAAACAAGAAACACGTAATAAAACTCACTTGGGCTATTAAAATCTCGCCTAGAGTGCAATATAAGCACATATGCGCAAAGATATTGAAAACGTTAGATAAGAAAAATACCAAATGAGTAATCGACAGATCATTTTCGTCGTCGAATAGCTAATAATAAATTCACAAAATGTATAAACGACATATTGTACTATTTCCTCAAATTCTAATTTTTGCAACAAGTATAGTAGGTTTCTTCCAGGATATGACAGATAATTTATTGTTAAAAACCGACTTATGTAAATTATTATTGCTAAGTAAAAATTCTCTATTTCAATTCTTAGATACTTACATTCATTATTCGAAAACCATAGAAAGAAAACAGTATTGCAAAATATATAAATAATGCGAGAAACGTTATATTATACGTATCTTCAATAACACTAATAGCTCTAAAATTATTATTTTATGCATTAGGTACACTTTTGGTAAAAAAAACTAACCACATATCTCAAATAAATCATATACATATGTCGTATTGATATCAATCTGAGTAAACGTATGTTTTGCTATACAGCTCTTCAGCATATCTTGAGAATTTATATATGTATCTAAATGTCTCAAACGATTATTAAGAATGTCCAATTGGCCGCATATATGAAACACTAGTAGTCCAAGAAAATTATCTACTCCAATATACGACATCATAGCGAGTATAATGTAAATGGTTTGAACGATAAATGTCAACTCGTATTGCGGCGTTTTCGTTATATCATAAATATAATGGGTTTCCATTAGCATTGGTCGACCTGGGTCTGTAATGTTGGTTGTCACTCTCATTAATAATCCAAACCCTGGTAAAAAAGAAGATAAAAATGATAAAAAAGAAGAACGCCACTCCCATTAGGCAGTATGCGCATGTAATAATTATACGTGGAATTTGTGCCCTTTTGATCATCATGTTTCAATCTTGTTCACTTTTCGAATTTATCCAATCTTCCGCGACCATATTTATGATGACACCTGTCATATTCTCACGCTTCTATAATTCTTTGTAGTTTATAACTCTGCTGTATTCGGTAGTAGAAGATATATATCATTTGTCATATTTATAATAAGGCAAATATTTTGTAAGCTCTTAAACTCTTATATATTTGCTTTATTACATATAATAATTCAAATTTTATATTAGATTGTAATATAATTGTTGTTTGTATATATATAATAAGATTGTTTTATGTAACACTCAAATAATAAGTATTGAATAGATAAATATAATTTTAAATTTATAAAAATATAAGTATGTAGATTATAATTTTTATTTTAATTTAATTTTAGATTAATCCTAACTTAATAATATTCAAAGAAAAGTTATTTTTTAATTATAAGTTTATTTTCAAATAACACAACTACTTACACAGTTATTAAATTACTATATTTTATAAGGAATCGAAATAAGAAATCTATGAATATAAAAAAAATGTTGATTTATTTTCTTTCTTCATTATACTCTTGTCGTATGTAAAACAGAAATATAACCAACTGAAGTTTTTATTAACTGAAAATCATATTTTTGCAAATAAAACGATTAATACGTAAGTAATGTTGATATATAAAATAAGGTTCAAGATTATTTATAGAAAAACTAAATAAAATATACATTATTAAAATAATATGGTACAAGTTATTTTACAAAAATTTTCAATAAAGTACAAATGCTTTTAGTGGAAAGTTAAAATCAAATATTCAAATATCTTACACTGCAGAATGTAGCCATTGTCATAGGAAATATTTTTCCAGCGGTGAGATAAACTGGTTTATTGCCTCTTATTAAGAAAATCAACAAGTCTTTTGTAATTTTTGGATCCATAGAGTACCATTTAACATTATATCCCGCATAATATACTTCATTACACTTCAAAATATGTTTGAATATTAAATATTTATATATATTTCTTTACAAGAAAACAGAAATTTGAAACATAAATTATTTATTTACATATTCATATAAATTATAAATTGATTTATAATTACATTAATAATTATAAAAAATAATTATATTATTCGTGTAAAATATAAATAGTTTATTAAAGCAGAATAAATGATTACTTTCTATCTTTTGCAATATTACTACATAGGAAATCTTTATGAAAAATTTTCTACATTTTACAATATATTGCGGAGCAATTTATATTTTTACAGTTTTAAAAGCTAATGTTAAATTTTTATAATATTAAACTTATAAACAAATTAAGAACAACTTTTAATATATTTCTCTTTAAAGATTAAATTAAATATTAATATGTTGATAAAATAAATTATTTGCATATAATTTAAATGTTTAAATTTATTAAAGTGTCATCAAATAAATTTTAATTTAATAAAATATATATTAATTTGCAGTATTTATTGCATAAAATACCATTTACATACCAATATAATAAAAAATTAAAATTAAAAAAATTAAAAGTAGAAAAATAAAACTTACTTGGCCTACCAAAATTTCACCAAGAGCACAGTATAAACACATATGCACAATAGCATTTACAATACAAGCGAAAAAATATACTAACTGAATAATCGACATATCATTTCCCTCGTCGAATAACTAATCATTAGAATATGTAAAAACATTCAATTATCATAGTTTTAAGCATACAATTATCATAGTTTTAATTTTGTAGTAAAATATTATGTAAATAAAAGATATGGAAAAACTTACACACTATTTTTATTCAAAGACACACAATACATACATTTATTATTTCTTTAGTGTTAAATATTAACTTACATAAATAAAATTTTCTATAAATACTTACGTTTGTTTAAATACTTACATTAATAATCCGAAATCCAAAAAAAGCGAAGAATAGAGCAAAGTATACAAATAATGCGAGAAGCGTTATATTATAGGCATCTTCAATAACGGCAATGTTCCTGCAAAATAAAGCATTTCGTGTATTGCATATGTACAATTAACCAACATATTTTATTAAATTATACATATATTTCATTTAAATGTGAAACCTAAGCAAAGAAATATGCTTCGTTACGCAGTCTCTTAGCATAGCTTGGGAATTTATGTATTTATCCAAACGTGTTAAACGGCCGTTCAGTATGTCCAATTGACCGCATATATGAAATACAAGCAGTCCGAGAAAATTATCTATTCCAGCATAAGCTGTCATAGCAACCATACTATAGATAGCTTGCATGAAAAATGTCAACTCGTAATGTGGTCTTTTCGTTACATTATAAATATAATAAGTTTGTAGAGGCATTGGTCTGCCTGGATCAGTAAAGTTGGTTGTTAATCTCATAGACATTCCAAAAATGGGTAAACCGATAATAAAACAGCCCGCAATTATCATTAGACAAAATCCGCATGTGATAATTATGCGTGGAATTTTCGCTTTTCTGATCATCATGCTTCTCTCTTGCACATTTTTAGTCTGTATCCAATCATCCGCCATCATATTAACGACAGGTATAATAGCTTCAAGAGTAGTAATATTGAATATTTTAACAATTTAATATTGAACACTGTTAATAATATTACTAATTGCAATAAAGGTTATGTCAAGATTAAAGAAACGTTTTAAGAAAGCGCAAATAATTTTCTCTTTCTCGAATTTGTAACACAAAGTAATTGTAAATTGATCATTTTAATGGGATTTCTCGTATTATTTATATGAATTGGGTATATTATTCATATTTTATATGTTATAAATCATATATAACTTTGTATATTTTATATTTTACGATAAATGATTATGTCTACCTTCTTTTTTCCACCAAAAAATCGCGATTCTTATTGAGGAGCTTATAGCCGGTAGAGTAAGTTGTAAATTATCCATCATTAGTATGGTATCATCATGAATTCTTATCAGGGAATGGACAGCGGGAATTATAAGAACAAATATTAACCCTACGAAAAACGAGGAGCACCCGTAAATTGCACAGTAACTTTTGTCGAGGATTTCTTGCGGTTTTAGGCCAGAGTCCAAGTAAATCTAATGCGATGCGATTGAGTTTCACTGCCCATTCGAAGTCTACCTGCAGAAATCTTAATAAGTCGAAGCTCGTGAAAAGCATTACAGTTTCTCAAAATGAACACAAGTATACCCGCAGTTGCTAACGTAAAAAGTATTATATTTAACTAAATGTATAAAGTAGTATATTTGAAGAGCATGGTTGTTTATTAATTGTTCTCTATAAAACTTCAGAAATTTGTTAAAAAATAATACATGGCAGAGCGATAAAAATCACAAACACATAGTTAAAGCTGATGCGTCGCGTTATACGTTGATAATTAAAATAATATTGTATGAGACAATAATGCAAAATTATTGGTAATAAGAAGAGAGAAAAAATTAAACATAATTAAATGCAAATACTTGCGCACACACATCCTAAATATAAATATAATTCAGCTCATTCTTTTCAAACGCAATAACGATCACAGCGATAAGCACCTCGGTATTCAACATATTTAGAAATATCCATGTCGACTGTCACATAAAGACTGACGTCTGCTCCTTTTTCATGTCTCGAAGTTACCTCCTATTCAGTAAAATATAATTTGTCGCGCATGCTCTAAATACAAGTTCGTAAAAATGCCGAACGATCACAACTTGCAACAAAGTGTTTTAAATATTCTACAGCAACCCTTGTTTCAAGTTTTCACCACAAAACATCGCAAAAACTGTTCTCGAAGAAAAATTTTTGTAATGATAGGTCAGTGAAAAAGGGTGCGAGTGTATATCCATTACATTCACTTTTGTATCTTATAATTTTACTATAGTTAGCAACACGCTATATAGAGTCTATCAAGCATCTATATATACAATACCTACACTTCGTACAACATATCTGAAAATTTCGGAGTTGTTTTATTGTACAATAAAAATGTAATAAAAAAATTTTTCAATATTTTAAAAAAATATTCAATACAAGTTGGTTAATAATAAATGACTAATAATAAATGACAGGATTTGGGTGTACATATGGCTTTAGGTTTATAAAAGATGTGGGTCTTTATAAATAAATAACAATTTTAGTTTAAATTTAATATCAAATTGTTACATCAACTTTATAAAATTTTCAATAGCATTTCATCAAATCGTAAAAAAAGTGTAGATTCTTTTGTTAACTTCTTGTTGTATGCAGAACGGATATGTAACCGGCTGCTGTTTTTACTAGCTGAAAGACAAAATTTTTATTAATAATATAGTTAATAATATAAACTAAATAGAAATAAGTAAGATTGAAAATTTTTATTATACATATAAATTATTTCAGTGTAAAATAATAATCAAATATTAAAACATCTTACACCACAAAAAGTAGCCATTGTCATGGGAAATATTTTTCCAGCGGTTAGATAGACCGGTTTAGTGCTTCTTATCAGAAGAAGCAACAAGTCTTTTGCAATTTTTGGATCCACTGAGAACCATTCATTATCATACGCCGCAGAATATATCCCATTACACTTAAAAATATCAAAGACATATTTTGTATTAAATATTGTATTTTTATTATTTTATTTCTCATAATAAAATAATAATTAACTTTCAATTGCCGATCAATTAATTTATATAAATTATAGTACATTTATTAACAAATATTTATTTATGCATAGTGTAAAACCTTTTTTATTTTTTTTTATTAGTTAAACAAGAAACACTATGAGGCTCACTTGGCTATCAAAATCTCGCCTAGAGCGCAATATAAGCACATAGATATTGCACAAAGATATTTAAAATTTTAGATAAGAAATAATATAAGCGCAAAGATATTGAAAATGTTAGATAAGAAAAATATCAAATGAGTAATCGACAGATCATTTCCGTCGTCGAATAGCTAATAATTAATTCACAAAATGTATAAACGACATATTGTACTATTTTCTCATATTCCAATTTTTGCAACAAGTATAGTAGGTTTCTTCCAGGATATAATTTATATAATTTATTGTTAAAAACCGACTTATGTAAATTATTATTGCTAAGTAAAAATTCTCATTTCAATTCTTAGATACTTACATTCATTATTCAAAAACCATAAAAAAAAAAACAGTATTGCAAAATATATAAATAATGCGAGAAGCGTTATATTATACGTATCTTCAATAATACTAATGGCTCTAAAATTATTATTTTATCCATTAGGTACACTTTTGGTAAAAAAAACTAACCACATATCTCAAATAAATCATTTACATATGTCGTATTGATATCAACCTGAGTAAATGTATATGTTTTGCTATGCAGTTCTTCAGCATATCTTGAAAATTTATATATGTATCTAAATGTCTCAAACGATTTTTAAGAATGTCCAATTGGCCGCATATATGAAACACTAGTAGTCCAAGAAAATTATCTACTCCAGTATACGACATCATAGCGAGCATAATGTAAACAGCTTGAACGATAAATGTCAACTCGTATTGCGGCGTTTTCGTTATATCATGTATATAATAGGTTTGCATTAGCATTGGTCGACCTGGGTCTGTAATGTTGGTTGTCACTCTCATTGATAATCCAAATCCTGGTAAAATGATAAAAAAGAAGAACGCTACTCCCATTAGGCAGTATGCGCATGTAATAATTATACGTGGAATTTGTGCCCTTTTGATCATCATGTTTCGATCTTGTTCACTTTTCGAATTTATCCAATCTTCCGCGACCATATTTATGATGACACCTGTCATATTCTCACGCTTCTATAATTCTCTGTAGCTTATAACTTTGCTGTATTCGGTAGTAGAAGATATTATATCATTTGTCATATTTATAATAAGGCAAATATTTTGCAAGCTCTTAAACTCTTACATATTTGCTTTATTACATATAATAATATAATAATAATTCAAATTTTATATTAGATTGTGATATAATTGTTATATATATATAATAAAATTGTTTTATGTAACACTCAAATAATAAGTATTGAATAGATGAATACAATTTTAAGTTTATAAAAAATATGAGTATGTAGATTATAATTTTTATTTTAATTTAATTTTAGATTCATCCTTACTTAATGAAATTCAAAAAAAAATTATTTTTTAATTATAAGTTTATTTACAAATAACACAACCACTTACACAGTTATTAAATTACAATATTTTATGAAGAATCGAAATAAGAAATCTATAAATATAAGAAAAATGTTGATTTATTTTCTTTCTTCATTATACTTTTGTCGTATGTAAAACAGAAATATAACCAACTGAAGTTTTTATTAACTGAAAATTATATTTTTGCAAATAAAACGATTAATACGTAAGTAATGTTGATATATAAGATAAGGTTCAAGACTATTTATAGAAAAACTAAAAAAATATACATTATTAAATATTATGGTACAAGTTATTTTACAAAAAATTTCAATAAAGTGCAAATGCTTTTAGTGGAAAGTTAAAATTAAATATTCAAATATCTTACACTGCAGAATGTAGCCATTGTCATAGGAAATATTTTCCAGCGGTGAGATAAACTGGTTTATTGCCTCTTATTAAGAAAATCAACAAGTCTTTTGTAATTTTTGGATCCATTGAGTACCATTTATTATTATATCCCGCATAATATACTTCATTACACTTCAAAATATGTTTGAATATTTAATATTATTATATATTTTTTTACAAGAAAACAGAAATTGAACATAAATTATTCATTCACATATTCATATAAATTATAAATTGATTTATAATTATATTAATAATTATAAAAAATAATTATATTATTCGTGTAAAATATAAATAGTTTATTAAAGCAGAATAAATGATTACTTTCTATCTTTTGCAATATTACTACATAGAAAATCTTTATGAAAAATTTTCTACATTTTACAATATATTGCGGGGCAATTTATATTTTTACAGTTTCAAAAGCTAATGTTAAATTTTTATAATATTAGACTTATAAACAAATTAAGAACAATTTTTAATATATCTCTCTTTTAAGATTAAATTAAAAATTAATACGTTGATAAAATAAATTATTTGCATATAATTTAAATGTTTAAATTTATTAAAATGTCATCAAAAAAATTTTAATTTAAAAAACTATATATTAATTTGCAGTATTCATTGCATAAAATACCATTTACATATCAATATAATAAAAAAAATTAAAATGTTAAAAAATTAAAAGTAGATAAATAAAACTTACTTGGCCTACCAAAATTTCACCAAGAGCACAGTATAAACACATATGCACAATAGCATTTACAATGAGAGCGAAAAAATATATTAAATGAATAATCGACATATCATTTCCCTCGTCGAATAACTAATCATTAGAATATGTGAAAACATACAATTATCATAGTTTTAAGCATACAATTATCATAGTTTTAATTTTGTAGTAAAATATTATGTAAATAAAAGATATGGAAAAACTTACACACTATTTTTATTCAAAGACACACAATACATAAATTTATTTTTTCTTTAGTGTTAAATATTAACTTGCATAAATAAATTTTTCTATAAATATTTACGTCTGTTTAAATACTTACGTTAATAATCCGAAATCCACAGAAAGCGAAGAATAGAGCAAAGTATAAAAATAGTGCGAGAAGCGTTATATTATATGTATCTTCAATAACGGCAATTGTTCTGTAAAATAGGATATTATGTCTGTTGCATATATTAGATAGCAAGATTACACATATATATATATATAAAATTATACACATATTTATAAATATAAGACCTAAGTAAGCGCATATGCTTTGCCACACAGCACTTTAGCGCGTCGTAGGTATTTATATATTTATCCAAATATGAGAGACGTCTATTTAGTATGTTTAGTTGGCCTGATATATGAAATACAAGCAGACTCAGAAAATTATCTATTCCAGTATAAGACATCATTGCTAGCACAATATAAACGGCTTGAACAACAAATGTTAACTCGTACTGCGGTCTTTTTGTCACATCGTAAATATAATAGGTCTGTATAGGCATGGGTCTTCCAGGATCAGTAATGTTAGGTGTCAGTCTTATTGAGAAGCCAAAAATAGGTAGAACAATAATAAAAATGCAAGCGAATCCCATTAAACAAAATCCACATGTAATAATTATACGTGCATTCTGCGCTTTTTTAATCATCATACTTCTTTCTTCCGCTTTCTTCGTTTTTATCCAATCCTCCGCGATCATATTCACAACCCACACAATAGCTTTAAAAACGTCAATATTAAGTGTTTTAATATACACAATAATGCCGCTAAATTATGATAAGAATTACATCAATTTAATACTAAACAGTAAAAAAATTTTAAAGAACTAAACTAATTTATGCTTTTACATATATAATTACCTAAATTTATTTATTACTTAAAATTTCTATAAATAATTACGTCTACCTTCTTTTTTCCACCAGAAAATTATAATTCTTATCGAACAACTAATGCCCGGCAAAGTAAATTGCAAATTATCCATCATTAGCATGGCGTTATGGTGAATTCTTATCAAAGAATGTATTGCAGGAAACAGGATGAAAAATGTTAGACCTACAAAAACGGAGAGCGTCCGTAAATTGTTCATTAATTTCTGTCGAGAATTTTGCACGGTCTTAGGCCAGAGTCCAATTAATTCCAAAGCAATGCGATTGAGTTTCACCGCCCATTCAAAGTCTACCTGCAGAAATCTTAATAAGTTAATCAAATGCATCACTAAGTCACTAAACATACACAAATGCATTCGCGTATAATTAGCGCACATATAAAGTTTTTAACAAAAAATGGGTTAAATATTATATTTAAAAACTATTGCTTCTCATTTATTAAAAAAATTTAAACATTAATTAAATATAATTAATAGGATAATCATACAAAAATTATAAGTATTTAGTTGCCATAATTAGATATGATAAAGTTAAATCGTTATCGTTATATATCAACCACTCTTTATACGTAAAAGTATATAACACAAAAATTAGAAATGTTTGATGGTAATAATAAGAAAAAAATAAAACATAATTAAATGCAAATGACTGTATAGCACACATATTTTAAATATAAACATAAATTAGTTTTTCAAATGCAGTAACAATGATTATAGCGCGATAAGCACCTCGATATCCGGCATATTTAGAACCATTCATGTTGACTGTCACTTCGATACTGGCGTCTACTCTTTTTCATGTCCCGACGTAATCTTCTATTCAACGAGAAACATTTCTCGCGTACGCTCTAAAACAAGTTCGTAAAAGTGTTGGACGAGCAACTTACGACAAAAAAATGTTTTAATTATTCTTCACCGATCCTCGTTTGCGTACAGAACATTGCGCAAAGTAGTTACGACAAAAAATTTTTACAAAAAATTACGACAGTAAAGGAGGGAAAGGGTGAAAAACGGCGCGAGAATATACATCCGTTGTGTTCTCACGCTTACCATTCGCAATTTTTACTTTCATTATAGTTAGTAACGAACTGTGCGGGATCTATTAGGCGTCTAATACAGTATCTAAATATTTTAGAACACGTTTGAATATCTTGGAATCGTTTAATTGTAAAGTGCAAATCTAATAAAATAATTTTTAATAATAATATCTCATATACTTGATGTTAAATTAATACTTATACTAATAATAAATAATTTAATTTGCTTTTAAGATTTTAGGTTCGTAAAAAATATGAATTTTTGTGGATTATAATTCAGACTTGAATTTAATTTTAGACTAATAATAATACAACTGACTTATAAAGTTAACTCTACAGAATATCATTCATTATTACACGCCGCGTTATATATTTTTTAAGATTTGAGAGTTTATCACAAAAATAAGTCTTTGTGAATTACAATTGGACTTGAATTTAATTCCAGATACATTTACTTTATAATATTCACAACAACTTTTAATCAAATCATGTAGTAGGTTTTACACTTTCTTCCCATATAATACGGTTTTTTAAATTATTTTGTTAAAAATTGCATAGTATGAGAAAAATGTAGATTTATCTCCTTGTTTTATTAATTTCTCGTTGTATGCAAAACCGATATATAACCGGCTGATGTTTTTATTAGCTGGAAATCATATTTTTAGTAAAAACATGAATTATTAAACTAATGTGATATAAATGCAAACAATTTTTTATAAAGTGATAAACGTAAATGGTTTTAGTGTAAAACAGTAATCAATTATGAAAACATTTTACTCCACAAAAAGTAGCCATTGTCATGGGAAATATTTTTCCAGCGGTTAGATAGACCGGTTTAGTGCCTCTTATCAAAAGAAGCAACAAGTCTTTTGCAATTTTTGGATCCACTGAGTACCATTTATTATCATACGCCGCAGAATATATCTCATTACACTTAAAAATATCAAAAACATATTTAGTATTAATTATTATATTTTTATTATTTTATTACTTATAATAAAATAATAATTAACTTTCAATTACCAATTAATTAATTTATACAAATTATAGTACATTTATTAATAAATATTTATTTATGCATAATGTAAAATTTTTTTTATCTTTTTCTTATTAGTTAAACAAGAAACACGTAATAAAACTCACTTGGCCTAACAAAATCTCGCCTAGAGCACAATATAAGCACATATGCGCAAAGATATTGAAAACGTTAGATAAAAAATATACCAAATGCGTAATCGACAGATCATTTCCGTCGTCGAATAGCTAATAATCAATTCACAAAATGTATAAACGACATATTGTACTATTTCCTCATATTCTCATTTTTGCAACAAGTATAGTAGATTTCTTCCATGATATAACACATAATTGTTAAAAACCGACTTATGTAATTTATTATTGCTAAGTAAAATTCTCATTTTAATTCTTAGATACTTACATTAATTATTCGAAAACCATAGAAAGAAAACAGTATTGCAAAATATATAAATAATGCGAGAAGCGTTATATTATACGTATCTTCAATTATACTAATGGCTCTAAAATTATTATTTTATACATTAGGTACACTTTTGGTAAAAAAACGAACCACATATCTCAAATAAATCATTTACATATGTCGTATTGATATCAACCTGAGTAAACGTATATGTTTTGCTATGCAGCTCTTCAGCATATCTTGAGAATTTATATATGTATCTAAATGTCTCAAACGATTTTTAAGAATGTCCAATTGGCCGCATATATGAAACACTAGTAGTCCAAGAAAATTATCTACTCCAGTATAAGACATCATAGCGAGCACAATGTAAACGGCTTGAACGATAAATGTCAACTCGTATTGCGGCGTTTTCGTTATATCATAAATATAATAGGTTTGCAGTGGCATTGGTCGACCTGGGTCAGTAATGTTGGTTGTCACTCTCATTGACAATCCAAAGCCGGGTAAAATGATAATGAAAAAGCATCCGACTCCCATTATGCAGTATGCGCATGTAATAATTATACGTGCAATTTGTGCTCGTTTGATCATCATGCTTCGATCTTGTTCACTTTTCGAATTTATCCAATCTTCCGCGATCATATTTATAATCGGGACAATAGCTTAAAATATTTTAATACAGATTTTAACACTATTGTTAAATTAAAATAGAGTTACATAAAATTTTTCATCATGAATAGTAAATAATTTAAAACTAAAGTAACTTTTTTTCTTATATTTTTAACAAAAGTATAGAAATATAAATAATTAAAAAATAGAAAAAAGACAAATTATTTATACACATAAGATTTATATATGCCATTAAATACATTTAAAAATTAAGCAGATAAATTATGTTTACCTTCTTTCTTCCACCAAAAAATAACAATCCTTATTGTGCAACTTATAGCGGGTAAAGTAAATTGTAAATTATCTAACATTAGTAAGATATCTCCGGAAATTCTCATTAGAGAATGTAGAGCAGGAATCAAAATACCAAATGTTATGCCTAGAAAAACGATGAGCACACGTAGATCGCATAATAACTTTTCACGAAAGTTTTGTGCTTTCGGCCAGAGTCCAATCACATTTAAAGTGATGCGATTTAATTTCACCGCCCATTCAAAGTCTATCTATAAAAATTTCAATAAGTCAGAGCTCGTAGAAACACAAAATCATGTAAAATGTCATATATAATAAAATTTGTAGAGTAAAACATTTAAAAACAATTTGCTTGGGCTAAATATATCGATTCAATGATTAATTAAAAATTAACAAATAACACAGCAATAGAAATCACAAAGTTCAAATTGCAATAGTCAAATAGGTATAACTGACACTTTGTTACATGTAATCAGCATAACGCTGAAAAAAAGGCAATATTGCAAAATTTTTGCTAATGATAGAAAGGAAAAAATTAAGTATAGATTAAACATCAGCATAGTTCGCGCAAACATTCTATATAAAAATACATTTTACACACAATTACTTTTTCCAATTGCAATGACAATTATCACGAATGCGCGCGCGATAAGCACCTTGATATCCTATACATTTAGAACCCTCCATGTCGAGTGTCGTCTAAAGACTGACGTCTATTCCCTTTTCATGTGACGACGTTACCTTCTATTTAGTGAACAGTATTTTTCATGTAATTTCTAAACATAAATTCTTAAAAACGTCAGATCAATTTACAACAGTGTTTTAAATATTCTGCAATATTTCTCTCGTCTCAAGTTTTTACCATGGAATATCGCGCAAAATGTGCGCGAACAAAAAATTTCATAAAAACAGATGCATGTTGCATTGATAAAAAACAAGGCGCACACCCGTTATATTCTCACGCATCTATAATCATCTATAGCTTGCAATATTACTACGGTTAATAATAAACCGTATAAAATCTATCGTATATCACTTACGATTTTTGTTAGATAGACACACATATCAGGAAAATTAATTAATTGAGTGACATTAAATTTTTCACTTTTAAAAATGTGGAACATACCAAAAATGTAAAACATTAATTATTTTTTATTGATTTTATATGTTCTAATAATAGATAAATCAACATAAAAATATTTATAGTAATATTTTACTGAAAAAAGTATCGTTGAGAAGATTAATTTATAATAACAAATATTAAATTAAATAATCCAAATATTTTATTTCTATTTTGATCGAGATATTTATTACATTTTATTCGTAATTAATTAATTAGAGGTATATTACTATTTCTTTAATACTGAAATAATGATGTACTAGCACGAATTTTTTTTTCTTTTACCCTCGCTTTGCCAACAAAAACGATATATAGCCAGCTGATGTTTTTAATAACTGAAACATATCAAAAGTCACGCACTATTTCTCACGGATTTAAGATAAACAACAATCATTTATGTTTCAGATTAATAATCTTACGCTGCAAAACGTAGTCATCGTAAGCGGAAATATTTTTCCTGCAGTAATACGAAAAGGATGGTTGGTCCGTATGAGTAATAAGAGAAGAGTCCTTGCCTGTCTTGGTTCCAATTTGTACCATTCAAGATCGCACATAGCACGATACACTTCCTCGCACTTAGCATGTTTATGCGGCAGAATATATCAATACTTACGTTATTTCGACGTGACATATAATATTGTTATAAAAAGTGTATGCAAATTTATGCAAATTTGTATAACTTACTTGCATTGTTACAATCTCCCCAGCACCACAATAGAGAAAAGTATGAGATATCAAAATTGTAATACTAATTAAAGGAAAACATAATCGTTGAAAGGATAAATCTTCTTCTGTAACCACCTGAATAATATGCCTTGCTAATTAATAAAAATAAATTAATGCAAGTTGGATCGATAATGTGCACATTTAGAAGTAAAGACAGATATTTGTTAATTGACAAAGGCGCACGAGATGCTATTAATGAGCATCTTGTTAAAACTTACGGTTAGTAATAGAAATCCGTGTAGACAAAATACAATACCAAAATAAAATACTAAGCTCAACAGCATTAAACTAAAAGTATCTTCAATAGTATTGGCAAATCTACAAAAACATACTTAAAAAATTATTTTAAAAATCTCAAGATAAAACTACTGAAAAATGTAATACTTTTATATTAATAATAAAATGTTAATAATACAAAATATTTATATCGCACTTCTTAATTTTTGAGATTAAAAAGAATGCGTGTCTTTCATTAGCACATTAAATTATTAATTATTTAAATATTTTTTTCTTTAAAATTATCTGCATTTTCTATAAAATTATTGCAAAAATCGGGAAATATCAAATTTTATTCTATTGATTAAAAGGATTTAATAAATAGACTTTTTTATGGAAAACAATTTTCTGAATTTTTACTAAATTTTATCCTTCATAAAAACATTTTATATCCTTCGTAATGATATTATATTAAATAAAATTTGCATGTACATACTTGATGAGCCGTAGATGTCTTTTCACATTGTTATTTAGAGTGCAGAAAAAATTCTGGCACGAAGTCAAAACAGCTACTCGGCCTTTAAAATTCTCCAACTGGCCGCAGAAGTGAAGAATTGCGAGTCCGAGAAAAGCGTCTACCGACGTGTAAGTTACAGCGGCCAGGAAGATTGTGATAGCTTGAACGATGATTGTTAATTCAAATTGCGGGCTCTTATCTGTGTCGTAAAAATAATAAGTCTGCAACGGCAACGGTTTGCCCGGATCCGTAAGATTTGTCAAGTGTCTTAACGATAAACCGAAATACGGAAGAACGATGACTACGATGAATGCCAATACCATCAGAACATATCCACTGATGACAATCGCTCGAGCAATCTGCGCTTGTCTTCTCATCACGTCCCTCTCTTTTGTCGTTTTCAATTCCATCCAATCTTCCGCCATCATTTTTATGATGGATGAAAGCGCTTTGAAAAACAATCAAGTTTTATTGTTACGCGTCGTTTGTTATTTACGCAATTACACAGTTACGCAGAATTACTTAAAAAATAGTGTAAATTATTTGAAATATGTATTATCTTTGATATTTTTTGTAACAGATAAAATTATTTAGGTAAATTAATTCAAATTATTCTAATCATACCTGATCGTTTGCACCGCATGACAACAAGTTTCAATGAGACTATTAGCAAAGGTAAAGTAACTTGAAGGTTGTCTACCATAAGTAACATATCACCCCACACACGTATAAGAGAACATATAAGAGGAATACCGGAGACGAATGTTACTATAACGAAAATGATGCCCACGCGAAGATCGGAAGCGTAATTGTCCTTAGTTACTTCGTCTGTTTTGGGCCACAAGCCAATTAGTTTCAAACTCAAGCAATTTAGTTCAACCGCCCATACAAAATCTAGCAATATATCAATATTAGGAAATTAAACGTATGTTAAAATATAATAACCATAAATCTAAAATTGTTAAAAAGTCTGTTCAGACAAAAATTCGAAATATTAGTATTTATGTTTTCATATATTTAACATATAACTTGGAATTAAAAAATATTGTAATGTAAATCATGATAATAAGTTAAAAATTCACATACTAGAGACGGAAAAAATACATAGAACGATAACATAACAGAAAATCGACGAAAAGCGCTTGAAATGCAACACAGATTAGTAACAATATAGTAGTTCAAAATATTTTCACAAATATAACTCTAAACAGAGAAAAAATATATGTTATAAACATTCGATACCTTTATAACTCGAACGTTCGGAAATGTCCATGTCGAACACTAACGCGGGGAAACCCACTCGACATGCTACGCAAAAGATAATCTTCACGCATGCTCACAATATAAGTGCAACAACCCTGTTTCGTCGAAGAATTCATTAAATATTGCTACCTAGTTGATAGCAGTTTTTCGTTTCACAACAAAACTTTACTGTCGTGAGAAACAAAGTATGGTAGTGAAAAGCACCAATGTCCACGCTAATACAAAGGGAGATACATTGTGTTATAGTACGTCGTATAGTTCTCGTTAAAAAAGTAATTTCATTCTTTTACAATACGTTTTACGTTTTAACTTTACGTCAATTGCATTTATCTTGTTACGCGAAATAATAATCTGCAATTTGCATTTCTAATATATTCTTGTAGAAGATCTACAAGAAAATAAAAACACTTTAATAAAAAAAAGTGCGACATAGTAAAAAATAAATATTTCATCATGTTATACGAATGTTATACACGAATGTTATACGAATATTCGAGTAACAACAGCTTTTACATATTAAAAAGCATTAAATATTACATTTATGATAATAACATTTACAATAAGTAACCAATTTATTTCACTAATCGACATTTCTATAGCAATACAATTGTTTGTTCTATTCGTAATTAGCTAATTAAAAATGTAGGTATTAGAAAGAATCATTCTCTTATTTTTTAATAAATAAAATAACATGTCATACTTCAATTTAACGCTTTGCCAATAAAAACGATATATAACCAGCTGATGTCTTTAATAGCTGAAAGATGATAATTTTTTATTTAAAGGTAAAAAAACAAAAACAAATTTTTTTTTCTAAGAATATTCCATTACATTCCAGATTACTAATGTATAATAATTTACATCTCGTGTTAAATTTTCAAATGCAAAAAATATTAGTAAAATTATAGGAATTAATAATCATACGCTGCAAAACGTGGTCATGGTAAGTGGAAATATCTTTCCCGCGGTAATCCGAAAAGGTTCGCTGGTTCGCATCATTATTAAAATCAGAGCTCTCGATTCTTTCGGTTCCAATTTGTACCACTTCAGATCGCACAGAGCACGATATACTGCTTCGCACTTATAACACATAAACATATAATAGATTACATTAATGTAACACAGCTGTTTTTATCAATATAAATTAAAATTAACCAACATAAGATTTAATTAATTTTCTTTTCTAAAAAAAAAACCACTAAAAATAAATTGAGAATAAAAACGGTTCTTTGAGGTAAATGTGTAAAATACAAAAATATATTATTAGTTTAAAAATATAATTAATGAACCTATTATGTTCATGATATTCATCAGTTACAAAACGTATCATAATAACGTACAGCAAAATATAATACGAAATTTCAATATATATGTTTAACAATAAATTTAAAAACTTACTTGCTTTGCTATAATCTCCCCGGCACCACAGTAGAGAAACGTATGCGCCAATAGAGTTACGATACCAATCATCACAAAGCATATCCGTGAAGGAGACATATTGCTTGTCTCGTCGTCGCTAAACACCTGTGTATAATACATCCTGTTATTTTTAATAAAAATGTACATAATGTGTCATAATCACTAATAAGATGTTGCATTACTCTATATATAAAAAGTGAACAAACGCAAAATACATAACATTTTTCATGTATTGTCATGAATGTCATGTATTTTCATATATAACATTTTCTTCTCTAACACTTACAGTAAACAATAGAAAGCCGAATAGGCAAAATACAATACCGAAGTAGAATACTAGTCCCAACATCATTAAAGTAAATGTATCTTCGATATTATTAGCAAATCTATAAATTTAAATATGCTTAAAAATGTCAAAAATATTAAAATCAAATGTGTGGCGGTGTCCAATAGTTGAAAGACATGTTTTTCGTGATTTTCGGCATAAATTTCAATAAGAGTATGTTTTGTGTAAATGCATCAGAAGCATTGGCATGTACATATATATATTACTAAATTATAAAAGTATGATTTATTTAAGAATTAAAAAATCTATTATTTGCAGGGAATTTTGTAAAAGTTTCACCATATCTCGTTTTCAAATGTCGTATCATATCAGTAAACAAATAAAACCAGCAAAAACCTTATCAATCGTAGGTGAGTATCTATGATATTACGCAGGCAACCATCAAAATCTTTACAAGAAGTTAGACTGAATAATCGGTGTCTAAAGTTTTCCAACTGGCCACAGATGTGAAAGATTGCGAGTCCAAGGAAAGCATCTACTGATGTGTAAGTTATTGCACCGAAAAACATCGTCATGGCTTGAATAATAAGCGTCAGTTCAAACTGTGGACTTTTATCTGTATCATAGAAATAATATGCTTGAAACGGTAATAATCTGTCGCCGTCCGTGAGATTAGACAAGTATCTAAAGTGTAAGCCAAATGTAGGAAGAACGATAAGCACACTGAACACGAATACCATCAAGGCGTATCCACAAATTACAATTAGTCGAGAAGCCCGAGCTCGTCTAATCATTACGTCTCTCTCTGAGTCCACTTTTAAGTTCTTCCAATCTTCGGCTATCATTTTGATGATAAATGCGATAGCTTGAAAATGTAATAAAATCACATTGTCAATGTATGCGACGAGTTTAAATTACAGTACAGCTAGTTAGTGATTAATTTATAATATAAGAATTGTCGATCTACTGATTGATTTAATTTAGATCTCGTCATGCATTGTGAAACATTGTGAGTGACAATAGATATAATCTAGTTTCTCGTACAATAATTCAATATGACACTACAGTGAGTGATTCGGAATTGAAAAATAATTCGATCGAAAATTAAACATGCAATAATTTTAAACACCTGATCGTTTCCATCGTATGATGAGAAGTTTCATTGATACCACTATTAAAGGTAAGGTAACTTGGAGATTGTCTATCATAAGTAACATATCACCCCAAACTCGTACAAGAGACCATACAAGAGGAACAACAGACAGAAAAGTTACTATAATAAATACAATGCACACACGAAGATCGGAAACGAAGTTATTCTTAACTTTTTCATCTATTTTAGGCCATAAACCCACTAATTCCAAACCACATCGATTCAATTCAGTTGCCCACATAAAATCTAACAAAATTCCAATATTAAAAAATAAATTATTTGCCAAAACTTTATATACATTAAAATTATAAAAATTGAACGATACAAAATTTTTTAATTAAAATTTGTTACATAGAGATTTATAATTCTAAATTATATAATACATGATAAACACTTAGCACCTTTATAACTTGAATGTTTATCAATGTCCATGTTGAAAACTAATGCGGAGAGGTCCACTTCTCTCCACTCTATTACGAAAAATGACCATCACGCATGCTCGCGCTGCAAGCATAACAACCTGGTTTGCCTCGTTCAAGAATACATTAAATATTACTCACGCTATCCCCAGTTGATATCAGATCTTTGTTTTTATAAAAAAAAAATTACCACAAGAATAAGTCGTCAAAAGCACCATGTCTACGCTAACAAGAGAGAAAATACATCAAGTTGCAGTACATCGCAAATTTTATGAACTTGTAATTCAAGTTTTTTCATGTCTTAATATGCTCGACGACAGTAGCGTTCATATTTCGTCATGAGAGATAGTGGCATGCATTTGAATTTTTAATACACTCGTGTAAAGAGCCATAGAGATAAAAAAAACTTCAGTAAAAAAAGTACGATACAATGAAAAAGAGACATACTATAGAATGTTATAAGAATACTACGAATATCTGCTGCAAAAAAATATTCTTTTATTTTACACGAACATATCTATCTCATAAAGTGATGTATATAATGTTATTTATAATAATATAATCAGTAATACAATATTGCAATCATATTTTCCTAATAAAGTATACGTGAAAAAAATTTGTCAAAGATAACAATTAATTAATTATATATGTTTTTGAAGATTTGGAAGAAAAGAATTAATTAATCCATGAAATTACAAATATAAGCTAAAAACATTAGAATAAAAATGGCATATAACAAAAATAAATATTTAGTAACCGTTAACTACAAACGCTATTTCTCATTGAATACATTATTTCGAATAAATATATTTTTATTTTATATTTGTGTTATATGTTTGCTGTTTATTCTTAATTTATGTTAATACATCGATATGTATATATATGTATATATATTTCCAAAAATTTTCTAAACATTATTTTCTGTGTCAATTTCTATATAATGCTGGAATCTCATATTTTAAAGCTTTAAACCGTTTTAATTATTTGCATTATAATACAAATGCATATATGCAGAAGTAAAAATTAAAGATAAATATCGTTTTATATGTACGTGTTGATCATGTATATAAAAATTAAGATAAATACATGACGGAATAAAAATGTCACAAAACACATCACTTTGTAGAAATACGACTCCTACACAATAAAATTCAATAAAATAAATATGTAATTATAAATTTTCCAATAGTTATTAATTATGTGACAAATCGGCATTAGTTTGCAATCAGCAATTCGTTAAAAACAGTACGTTTTAAATGTTATATTAATTATTATTTCTACACAAAATAACAAGGTAAAAAACGGAATTCTTAGTAATCCTAAGGAAAAAATAAAGCACAATATATATACATACATAATAAATAATATTATTTACGTCTATACTAACCAACACAATTCTTTGTTACTATTACTCTTAATTTTTATTACATAATTGATGAATTATAATTATATTCTTCTCCTTTTGCTTAATCAAGTATAATAACTCGATATATTTATGATTTAATCACGCTTTGCCAATAAAAATGATATGTAGCCAACAGATGTTTTTAATAACTAAAAAATAATATATCTCTATTTAAATATACAAAATGTTAATAAAGGTAAAGAGAAAAAAAATTAGTGTTAAAATATATTATCTTAATATATTCCAAACTACTTACACACAATTGTTAACCCTTTCATCCTTGAACTATTTTTGTAAAATCAACTTATATACATGATATAGTATACATCAATTTACACATGGGGCTGCCTAATTTTCTCAAGTAAAATTAGGCAACATATTATACAAATGTTCTTAATTTACTGATACTAATTGTATAAATAGCACTCGCCTCATATATGTCCCAGTAGAATATTTCGAATATATCGCGGGACATACTTGTCCCAGTAAAAGTGAAAGGATTAATAACTGATGTTAGATATTCAATAGAAAAGATATTTGTCAATATTTGTCATATTAAGAAAATTGTTTATAATATTACACTAGAAAACGTAGCCAATGAAAGTGGTACTATCTTTCCCGCGGTGATGCGAAAAGGTTCGCTGGTTCGTATCATTATTAAAATCAGAGCTCTCGATTTTCTCGGCTCCAACTTGTACCATTCGAGATCGCACATAACACGATATACCGCTTTGCACTTAACACACATATAAATATAAATAAATAAATAGATAAATAAATTGTATTATTTTATATCTATATATGTCTAAACACAAATATATTTATTTATATGTGTAAAAATATGAAAAATAAAACATACTTCATTTGCCACAAGCTCTCCGCCGCCACAATATAAAAACGTATGCCCAAATAAATGAGTTATAGCAAGCGCCGTAAAGCCCATCCGTGAAAAAGAAGTGTCATTCAATTCATCACTGGTAATCAACTATGCATACAATATGCCTTATTATGTACTAAATAATATAATATAATATATAATATATTAACTAATAAAGTATCATGCAAAATTTCATATCATAAAATTTAAAAAAGTATAAGAGACATGTACGCTTTCTATGTGGTTTACACTAATACTCACAGTAACCATCAGAAAACAAAACGTACAAAATACAATACTAAAATAAAATAATAGTATCAGTACCAGTAGAGTGAATACATCTTCAATATTATCGGCAAATCTATAAATATAAATGCATTTTAAAAAATGTTATAACGTATCAATAAAATATATGTAAGTCACAAAAAAGTAACTTAGGCGCTTTTATTTTAAGACAAAAATTAAGACAATATTGATAAAAAAATATAAAATATAGAAAACTCTATATTGACATATGCATTAGAAAAACATCAGTCTCTAATGCACATATTGTAAAACTATGAAAAACTGATTGTATCTTTACGGATTAAACAAATAGTAGTGCAAGGATAAATTATTCAATAGTTTTGTTGCATCTTACATTACACAAAATGTCATTGTATTGTAACAATAAAGTCCGTAGAAACCTTATCAATCGTAGATGAGTCTCTATGTTATAACGCAAAGCATTATCAAAATCATTGTACGATGTCAGATGCAGTAATCGATATCGGAAGTTTTCCAACTGACCACACATGTAAAAGATCGTGAGCCCAAAGAAAGCATCCACCGACGTGTAAATTACCAGAATCAAAAACATTGATACGGCTTGAGCGACCAACGTAAACTCAAACTGCGGACTTTTATCTGTATCATAAAAATAATACGCTTGCAGCGGTAACACTTTGCCACTGTCTGTAATATTTGTTAAGAATCTGTACTGTAACCCAAATAATGGAAGAACAATAGTCGTAAGCAATCCGAATGTCGTTATAAGATATCCACAAATTGCAATTAATCGAGCAACTTGAGCTCGTTTCATCATCACATTCCTCTCTGCGTCTACCCTTAAATACATCCAATCTTCGACCATCATGTTCACGATTAGTGAGAGAGCTAAAAATGTAATAAAATCAGATCAATCGTCTAAAATTATTTAATTGCTTACAACTAATCAAGTATTAGTTTATTATGACAAAAACATTAAAAGTACACTTTAGAATGTAAATCTTGTCAAGGCTTTAAGAGAATACAGCACATGTAATATCTAATTTTTAATAACAATATAATATTATTAAATCAAAATACGATACAATATGATATTGTAGTGTACAATAACAAAATCATATAATTTATATAACGGAATATTAAATTCTGAAGATACAAACCTGCAATACAAAAAAAATTAAAAGGTAAACAGACATTTTCAATTAATTTAGAAATTCAAAAAATTCTTTTATATTTTAACTTTTTTTTAATAATCAGACATACTTGACCGTTTCCACCGTATAATGACAAGTTTTAGAGATGCCACTATTATTGATAAAGTCAGTTGTAGATTATCTATCATAAGTATCATATCACCCCAAACTTGTACGAGGGAACAAATAAGAGGAACAGTACATACAAAATTGATCAGAATAAATACGATGCTTACATAAATTTTCGAAACAAAAATATTCTTATCTTTTTCGTGGTTTTCGGGCCATAGTCCGGATAGATATAAACCAAACCGATTTAGTTTAATAGACCACTCAAAATCTAGCAAAATTTTATTTAAAAAATTATATATTAGATAATATTTAAAATGTATCCTAATTTAAAAATTTGGACGATAAAATATTTACTAATTTAAGATTTTGTTCTAATAATTTGTAATATTGTAATTAGATTTTATAACGAGAACAAGTCTATAACATTTATGTGATTTTATAATTTAATTATATTAATCAATATCTTAATAATTCTTAAATTTGAATACATATCTGAGATCAAACTGAGATATCACTGTAAAATTTAATTATTAATGAAACAAATGAACTAAAGATCAATTCGAATATATTATAAATATATACACACGTGCAAACTTATTATATAAAATTTTTAAACAATATTTTTTGTAATAAATATAGTAATATTTTTGTTTTAATTTTATCTTCAATGTGTCACAATTTCACAATACACCAAACTATATCACAAACATTGGATACCTTTATAATTTGAACGTTCAGAAGCCATGTCGAGAAATAATGCGAACAAGTACACTTCTCACTAATCTATTAGACAGATAATCTATACGCATGCTCGCAGTGCGAATGCAACAACTCGGTTTGCATCATTGGGGGGCACATTAAATATTACTCATGCTATCCCTAGTTAATAACAGTTCTTCGTTTTGTAAAAAAAATTTTACCACAACAGTAAGTCGTAAAAAGTACCATGTCTAACAAGAGGAAAAATGCATCAGGTTGCAATACATCGCAAGTTTCACAAACTTGCTATTCAAGTTTTTTCATGCCTTATTGTGCTTCACGACAGCATCGTTCATACTTTATCATGAGAGATAATGGTGTGCATTTGCATTTTTAATACGCTGTTGTAAAGAGCTATGGAAACAAAAAAAACTTCAGTAAAAAAAGTATGATACAATGAAAAAGAGACATACTATAGAATGTTATAAGAATACTACGAATATCTGCTGCAAAAAAATATTCTTTGGTTATACACGTACATAAATATATCCATCTCATAAAGTGATGTATATAATGTTATTTATAATAATACAATCGTTATCGTAATACAATCATATTATTGCAATCATATTTTTCTAATAAAGTATACGTGAAAAAAATTGGTCAATGATAATAATTATTGAATTATATATGTTTTTGAAGATTTGGAAGGAAAGAATTAATCCATGAAATCACAAGTATAGGCCAAAAAATCAAGATAAAAATGGTATTTGGCAAAAATAAATACATTTAGTAAACGTTAAGAGGATTCTAGAGTCATCTGTTTTAGCGATTTCTTTTAAATACATTATACTTTTTTTTTTACTGTGTAGAATGAAAAATTTTTTTCTGTACTTAAAGTACATTTGCTAATACAGGACGGACGGTCGATTTACAGGACGGTCGAAAGGATTTTTCATTCCACGCAGTTAAAAGAGAAGAATTTTACGAAAAATAAAAGGTAAAATAGATCAGTACCTGTCCTTCGTTTTGTAAAGAAAATTTTGCGACTAGAATAAGTCAAAATAGGCACAATGTCAGAAGCATAATTTGATCGTGTTATACGAGTATTATACGAATGTTATACGAATATCCGAATAACAACAATTACAACAATCTGTTGTGACAACAGTTTTTTGATTTTTCATATTAAAAAGCATTAAATATTACATTTATTATAATAAAATTCACAATAAGTTACAAATTTATTTCATTAATCGACATTTCTACAGCAGTACAATTGTTCCATTCGTAATTAGCTCATTACAAATGTAGATATTAGAGAGAATTATTCTCTTCTTATTCTTTAATAAATAAAATAACAAAACATACTTCAATCTAACGTTTTGCCAATAAAAACGATGTATAACCAGCTGATGTCTTTAATAGCTGAAAATTGATAATTTTTTGTTTAAAGGTTAAAAAAAAGTAAAAAATTTTTTCCTAAAAATATTCCATTACATTCCAGATTACTGATATGTAATAATTTACATCTTGTGTTAAATTTTCAAATGCAAAAAATATTTATAAAATTATAGGATTTAATAATCTTACGCTACAAAACGTGGTCATGGTAAGTGGAAATATGTTTCCCGCGGTGATGCGAAAAGGTTCGCTGGTTCGTAACATTATTAAAATCACAGCTCTCGAGTTTTTCGGTTGCAATTTATACCATTTAAGATCACACATAGCACGATATACTGCTTCGCACTTATAACACATATACATATAATAGATTATATTAACGTAACATAACTGTTTTTATCAACACAAATTAAAATTAACCAACATAAGATTTGATTGATTCTCTTTTCTGAAAGAAAAAACTAAAAATAAATTAAGAATAAAAACGGTTCTTTGAGATAAATGTGTAAAATATAAAAATATATTATTAGTTTAAAAATATAATTAATGAACTTATTATAATGCATGATACTCATCGGTTACAAAACGATCATCATATCATAATAATGTACAGAAAAATATAATACAAAAATTCAATATATTTCAAAATTTCAATATATATATGTTTAACAATAAATTTAAAAACTTACACGCTTTGCTATAATCTCCCCGGCACTACAGTAGAGGAACGAATGCGCAAACATAGTGACGGTACCAAGCATCACAAAGCATATCCGTGAAGGAGACATATTGCTTGTCTCGTCGTCGCTAAACACCTGTGTATAATACATCCTGTTATTTTTAATAAAAATGTACATAATGTGTCTTAATCACTAATAAACTGTTGCATTACTCTATATATAAAAAGTGAACAAATGCATAATACATAACATTTTTCAAGTATTGACATGTATGTCATGTATTTTCATATATAACATTTTTCTTCTCTAACACTTACAGTAAACAATAGAAAGCCGAATAGGCAAATTAAAATACCAAAGAAGAATACTAGTCCCAACATCATTAAAGTAAATGTATCCTCGATATTATCAGCAAATCTATAAATTTAAATATACTTAAAAACGTCAAAAATATTAAAATCAAATTTGAGGCGATGCCAAGTAGTTGAAAGACATGTAGTTTTTTATGATTTTTGGCTTAAGTTTCAATAAGAGAGTATGTTTTGTGCAAATGTATCAGAAGCATTGGCGTGTACATATATATGTATATGTACGAGATACGGCAAAATCTTTACAAAATTTCTTGTAAATAATAGATTTTTTAATTCTTAAATAAATTACACACACACATATATATATTACTAAATTATAAAAGTGTAATTTACTTAAGAATTAAAAAATCTATCATTTACAAGAAATTTTGTAAAGATTTTGCCATATCTCGTTTTAGAAAGGTCATATCATATTAGTAAACATAAAACCCACAAAAACCTTATCAGTCGTAGATGAGTCTCTATAATATTACGCAGAGCGCCATCAAAATCTTTACAAGAAATTAGATTGAATAATCGGTGTCTAAAGTTTTCCAACTGGCCACAGATGTGAAAGATTGCGAGTCCAAGGAAAGCATCTACTGATGTGTAAATTATTCCAGCGAGAAACAGCGAGATAGTTTGAATAAAGAGCGTAAGTTCAAACTGCGGACTTTTATCTGTATCATAGAAATAATATGTTTGAAACAGTAATAATCTGTCGCGATCTGTGAGATTAGTCAAGTATCTAAAGTGTAAGCCAAATGTAGGAAAAACGCAAAGAATAATAAACGATAATGTTATCAAGACATATCCAGAAATTGCAACTAGTCGCGAAGCCCGAGCTCGTCTAATCATTATGTCTCTCTCTGAGTCTACTCTTAAGTTCATCCAATCTTCGGCAATCATTTTGATGAGGAATGCGACAGCTTGAAAATGTATAATAATAAAATTACATTGTCATTGTATGGAATAATTTTAAACTACAAAAAATTATCGATCCACTGATTGATTTAATTTAGATCTGGTCATACATTGTGAAACATTGTGAATGACAATAGATATAATGTGGTCTCTGATATAATAATCCAATATGACACTATCACTGAGTGATTCGAAATTATAAAATAATTTGATCGAAAATTAAACATGCAATAATTTTAAGCACACCTGATTGTTTCCATCGTATGATGAGAAGTTTCAATGCTACCACTATTACGGGTAAGGTAATTTGGAGATTGTCTATCATAAGTATCATATCACCCCAAACTCGTACAAGAGCCCATACAAGAGGAACAAGAAACAGAAAAGTTATTACAAGTGCAATGCTCACACGAAGATCGGAAACGAAGTTATCCTTAACTCTTTCATCTATTTTAGGCCATAAACCCACTAGGTCCAAACCAAATCGACTCAATTCAATTGCCCACGTAAAGTCTAGCAAAAAATTCCAATATTAAAAAATAAATTATTTGTCAAAATTTTAAATACATTAAAGTTATAAAAATTGAACGATAAAACATTTTTTAAATAAAATTTGTTATATAAAGATCTATAATTCTAAATAATATAATACGTGACAAACGCGTAGCACCTTTATAACTTGAATGTTTGTAAATGTCCATGTTGAAAACTAATGCGGAGAGGTCTACTGTTCTCCACTCTATTCTGAAAAATCACCATTACGCATGCTCGCACTGCAAGCACAACAACCTGGTTTGCTTCGTTCAAGAATACATTAAATATTACTTATGCCATCTCCAGTTGATAACAGTTCTCTGTATTTTATAAAAAAAATTTTACCACAAGAATAAGTCGTAAAAAGCACCATGTCTACGCTAACAAGAGAGAAAATACATCAAGTTGCAGTACATCGCAAGTTTTACTAACTTGCTATTCAAGTTTTTTCATGCCTTATTATGCTTGACGACAGCAGGGTTCATACTTTATCATGAGAGATAATGGTGTGCATTTGCATTTTTAATACGCTGTTGTAAAGAGCTATGGAAACAAAAAAACTTCAGTAAAAAAAGTATGATACAATGAAAAAAAGACATACTATAGAATGTTATAAGAATACTACGAATATCTGTTGCAAAAATATATTCTTCAATTATACACGTACATAAATATCTATCTCTATAAAGTAATGTATATAATGTTATTTATAATAATATAATCGTTATCAGTAATACAATATTGCAATCATATTTTCCTAATAAATATACGTGAAAAAAAAATTTGTCAATGATAACAATTATTGAATTATATATGTTTTGAAGAATTAAAAGGGAAGAATTAATTAATCAATGAGATCACAAATATAGACTAAAAAGAATTAATATAAAAATGGCATATAACAAAAATAAATGCATTTAGTAACCGTTAACTACAAACGCTATTTCTCATTGAGCACATTATTTTGAATAAGTCTATTTTTATTTTCTATTTGTGTTATATATTTGCTGTTTATTCTTAATTTATGTTGGTACATATACAGGGTGTCCGGTAATTGCTAAATTACCTCTCGTGTGTAAGTAAAGCGAGTTAAATCGAGTAGAAAAGTCCTCTACCATTTTGCGATTTTCACAATAATTAATAAGAAATTAATTAAAAAATATCGGCCAATTCGTGCAAGCTTAAGAGTGCAGCGAGAAGAGACCCGTGGCAGTACAGCCTACTGTTATTGGTTACCGTTATTAGTTACTTCTATACTAACAATACAATTCTTTGTTTCTACTACTCCTAATTTTTATTACATAATTGATAAATTATAATTATATTTTTCTTCTATTGCTTAATCAAGTACAATAACTCGATATATTTATAATTTAATCATGCTTTGCCAATAAAAATGATATGTAGCCAACACATGTCTTTAATAGCTAAAAAATAATATATCTTTATTTAAATATAAAAAATATTAATAAATATAAATAAATATATTATTTTAATAATAAATTTAATAAATATATTATTTCAATATTTTCCAGATTATTTACACACAATTGTTAACCCTTTCATCCTTGAACTATTTTTGTAAAATCAACTTACATACATGGTATAGTATACATTAATTTACATATGGGGTTGCCTAATTTTCCCAAGCAAAATTAGGCAACACATTATACACATGTTCCTAATTTACTGACACTAATTGTATAAATAGCACTCGCCTCATATACGTCCCAGTAGAATATTTCGAACATATCGCCGGACATATTTGTCCCAGTAAAAGTGAAAGGATTAATAATTGATGTTAGATATTCAATAGAAAAGATATTTGTCAATATTTGTCATATTAAAAGGATTGTTTATAATATTACACTAGAAAACGTAGCCAGTGAAAGTGGTACTATCTTTCCCGCGGTGATGCGAAAAGGTTCGCTGGTTCGTATCATTATTAAAATCAGAGCTCTCGATTTTCTCGGCTCCAACTTGTACCATTTGAGATCGCACATAACACGATATACCGCTTTGCACTTAACACATGTATATATATATAATAAATTGTATTATTTTATATCTATATTAGCCGTTGTCATAAATAAAAATCAAATTCAATCAAATTTTATTTCTAATTAATGTCTAAACACAGATATATTTATTTATATGTTTAAAAATACGTAAAATAAAACATACTTCATTTGCCACAAGCTCTCCGCCACCACAATATAAAAACGTATGCCCAAATAAATTAGTTATAGCAAGCGCCGTAAAGCCCATCCGTGAAAAAGAAGTGTCATTCAATTCATCACTGGTAATCAACTATGCATACAATATGCCTTATTATGTACTAAATAATATAATATAATATATAATATATTAACTAATAAAGTATCATGCAAAATTTCATATTATAAAATTTAAAAAAGTATAAGAGACATGTACGCTTTCTATGTGGTTTACACTAATACTCACAGTAACCATCGGAAAACAAAATACAATACTAAAATAAAATAATAGTATCAGTACCAGTAGAGTGAATACATCTTCAATATTATCGGCAAATCTATAAATATAAATGCATTTTAAAAAATGTTATAACGTATCAATAAAATATATGTAAGTCACAAAAAAGTAACTTAGGCGTTTTTATTTTAAGACAAAATTAAAACAATATTGATAAAAAAATATGAAATATAAAAAACTCTATATTGACATATGCATTAGAAAAACATCGGCCTCTAATGCACATATTGTAAAACTATGAAAAATTAACTTTATCTTTACGGATTAAACAAATAGTAGTGCAAAAATAAATTATTCAATAGTTTTGTTGCATCTTACATTACACAAAATGTCATTGTATTGTAACAATAAAGTCCGTAGAAACCTTATCAATCGTAGATGAGTCTCTATGTTATAACGCAAAGCATTATCAAAATCATTGTACGATGTCAGATGCAGTAATCGATATCGGAAATTTTCCAACTGGCCACACATGTAAAAGATCATGAGCCCAAAGAACGCATCCACCGACGTGTAAATTACCAGAAGCAGAAACATTGTTACGGCTTGAGCGGCCAACGTGAACTCAAACTGCGGACTTTTATCTGTATCATAAAAATAATACGCTTGCAGCGGTAATACTTTGCCACTGTCTGTAATATTTGTTAAGAATCTGTACTGTAACCCAAATAATGGAAGAACAATAGTCGTAAGGAATCCAAATATCGTTATAAGATATCCACAAATTGCAATTAATCGAGCAACCTGAGCTCGTTTTATCATCACATTCCTCTCTGCGTCTACCCTTAAATACATCCAATCTTCGACCATCATGTTCACGATTAGTGAGAGAGCTAAAAATGTAATAAAATCAGATCAATCGTCTTAAATTATTTAATTGTTTACAACTAATCAAGTATTACTTTATTATGACAAAAAAATTAAAAGTACACTTTAGAATGTAAATCTTGTCTAGGCTATAAGAGAATACAGCACATGTAATATCTAATTTTTAATAACAATATAATATTATTAAATCAAAATACGATACAATATGATATTGTAGTGTACAATAACAAAATCACATAATTTATATAACGAAATATTAAATTCTGAAGATACAAACCTGCAATACAAAAAAAAATCAAAAGATAAACAGACATCTTCAATTAATTTAGAAATTCAAAAAATTCTTTTATATTTTAACTTTTTTTTAATAATATGAGACATACTTGACCGTTTCCACCGTATGATGATAAGTTTTAGAGATGCTACTATTATTGATAAAGTCATTTGTAGATTATCTATCATAAGTATCATATCACCCCAAACTTGTACGAGAGAACAAATAAGAGGAACAGTACATACAAAATTGATCATAATAAATATGAAGCTTACATAAATATTCAAAAGAAAATTATTCTTATCTTTTTCGTGGCATTCAGGCCATAGTCCGATTAGATATAAACCAAACCGATTTAGTTTAATAGACCACTCAAAATCTAGCAAAATTTTATTTAAAAAATTATGTATTAGACAATATTTAAAATGCATCTTAATTTAAAAATTTGGACGATAAAATATTTACACAAATTTAAGAGTTTGTTCTAATAAATTGTAATATTTTAATTAGATTTTATAACGAGAAAAAATCTATAACATTTATGTGATTTTATAATCTAATTACACCAATCAATATCTTAATAATTTTTAAATTTGAACACATATCTGACAAGATTAAACTGAGATATCACTGTAAAATTTCAATGTTAATGAAACAAATAAACAGCAAAAAACTAAAGATCACTTCGAATATTGATATACATATATACGTGCAAACTTATTATACAAGATATTTTATACAATATTTTTTGTAATAAATATAGTAATATTTTTGTTTTAATTTTTAACTTCAATGTGTCACAATTTCACAATACATCGAACTATATCACAAACATTTGATACCTTTATAATTTGAACGTATAGAAGCCATGTCGATACATAATGTGAAGAAGCACACTTTTCACTAATCTATTAGACCGATGATCTATGCGCATGCTCGCAGTGTAAATGCAACTCGGTTTGCTTCATTGAAAAGCACATTAAATATTACTCATGCTATCCTTAGTTGATAACAGTTCTTCGTTTTGTAAAAAAATTTTACCACAAGAATAAGTCGTAAAAAGTACCATGTCTAACAAGAGGGAAAATACATCAGTTTGTAGTACATCGCAAGTTTCACGAACTTGTTATTCAAGTTGTTGTTCAAGTTTTTTCATGCCTTGTTATGCTTCACGACAGCAGCGTTCATACTTTATCATGAGAAATAATGGTGTGCATTTGCATTTTTAATAGACTCTTGTAGAGAACTGCTGAGATAAAAAAAATGTCAGTCAAAAAAAGTACGATACAATGAAAAAGAGATAATATATATCATAGAACATTACAGAAATACTGCGAAAAGCTGCAGCAAAAAGATATTCTTTGATTATATGCGTACTTCAATGTACCGCTATCTTATGAAGTAATTTTTAATGCAATTTTTGTTTATATAATCGTCACTTATCTCACAGCAATACAATATCGCAATCATTATTTACTAATAAAATATAGATAAGTATTGTTTAATAATAATAATTATGAAAATGCTATAAAAGAAACTTTAGTCCAAGAAAGATACAATAAAAAGGAACAATGCATCTTATGAAATTATACAAATGCCACAAATCAGTTGCAAAGCGATATTTTACGACACAAGATAAATGCAATATCTTATCAAATAATGTATAACATACTTATATACTTATAATTATTTTTGTGTAAAATAAGTGAAAACTGTCATTTAATTAAGTTCAATTAGTGAAATATTATTTGTTTAAGTTTTCTGAAATTTTTCTCAAATTTAAATACATATTTAATTCAAACACATATTCAATTATATCATAAAACATATTTCATGTAATTATACATCTCTGCATAATAACATTAATATACTCAAAACAACTACTAAAATAATCTATTTACACGAATTGATGAAAAAAAACCATAAATTGAAACATAACTTCAACACAAAACATAAAACATTACATTCATAGTATTATTATTTTTTATTAAATCACAACTATATTTGTGTGCTAACCGCTACAATTCTTTGTTCCTATTATTGTTATTTATAATCACGTAATTAGTAAATTATAATCACAGTCTCTTTCTTTTCTTGAATACAAGTGTAATATTTTTGTTTCAACTACGCTTTGCCAATAAAAATGATATGTAGCCAACAGATGTCTTTAATACCTACAAAATAATGCTTTTTATTTAAATATTTCAGAAAACAGAAATATAAAAAAAAATATATATTTCGTGTTAAAAAGATTTTATTCCATTATTTCCTATATATATTATTTACACACACTTATTAAACATTTACATAAAATATTCTATGCAAAAGATATTTGTCAAATTAGAGGGATTGCTAATAATCTTACGTTACAAAATGTAGCCATTGAAAGTGGAAATATTTTTCCCGCGGTGATGCGAAAAGATTCGCCGGCTCGTATCATTATTAAAATTAAAGCTCTCGATTCCAACGGCTCCAATTTGTACCATTCGAGATCGCACAAAGCACGATATACTGCTTCGCACTTAACATATATAATAAATATATATAATAAATATCCGCATTATTTTTATATTAGTAGTTATTAAAATTGTAAATTAATTTAACAAAAATTTTATTTCTAATTTCTGTTGAAGATACATTTAAGTGTATAAAAACGTAAAAAAACATACTTCTTTTGCCACAAGTTCTCCGCCACTGCAATAAAAACAAAAGCACTAATAAAGAAATATTACCAGCTATCGCAAAACTTATCCGTGAAAAAGAAATATAACTTGTTTCATTGCTGCTTATTATCTGTAAATATAAAACATACTTTGTTAGTGTAATAGAAAACAAAATATATATGTGGATTTGTACACACACATACACGCCCCTCCCCCCACACATATAACATTATAATATTAAGTGTTCTTCATATTATAATTATTCATAAAATATCTGAAATGATACTTTAGAAAAGCAAAAAAGTGCAAAATATATATACATTTTTCTCGTCATTTTCCCTCTAATACTTACAGTAACAAATACAAAACCATAAAAACAAAATGCAACACCGAAATACAATAATAGTGCCAGTGTCGATAAAGAAAATGTATCTTCTATGTTATTGGCAAATCTATAAATATGAAAGCGTTTCAAAAATGTCACATTAAGATCAACAAAATGTAAGAGTAAAATAATTTTAAACGTTTCCATGAAATCATTTCATGAATATATATATGTATATATATATATATATACATACATATCACACACACAATACACACACATATATATGTGTATATATGTGTGTATGTGGTATGTATATACAGAATGTTCTACCAAAAATGGCCACCCCTTTTTATCTTTTAAATTAAAAGAGATAGACCATAACAAATATATATCAAATTAAATAGTTTAAACTGAACTCTATTGTGAGTATAATAATTGCTTACAAAAGCTATTCGTGATAACGAACGGAGAGGTATGCGTAATTTTATTATAATAATGTGGATATTTTGATGCAAAAAAAGTTGTAGCGCTGTTTGAAAAGAATACAACGATTATAATTTAATATAAATATTTTACATATTATACGAGTTTTATCGAGCTTGAAATATCGCGGGCGACGTTTACCTTTTCACTTTCGGTCCTGCGATACGGCCTACTTCTATAATTAATTAATAATTAACAGCGCTACAACTTTAATTGACATACGTCAATCTCTAACGTACAAGTCAGAAGTTGTATATCGTTGTATTCTTTTCAAACAGCGCTACAACTTTTCTTACATCAAAATATCCACATTAATATAAAAAATTGATGCACACATCTCCATTCGTTAACACGAATAGCTTTTGTAAGCAACTATTATGCTCACAACAAAGTTTAGTTTAAACCATTTAATTTGATATACATTAGTTACGGTGTATCTCTTTTAATTTAAAAAATAAAAGAAGATGGCCACTTTTGGTGGAACACTCTGTATATACACAGAGTGATTCGAAATAACCTGATGTCCTTGCAATGCCATATTCTTAAGCAAATACTGAGACAATTTTTCCTTTTACAAAATTTTGTCCGAAGCTTAGTTTTCGAGTTATAATTGAAAATAGTTTGCTACTTACGTAGTCCGATACAACGGACAGACAAAGACGGTGTAATGCGTATGAGACGATAGTAAACACTTGACAGTCTCATTATATGATGCGCGTCCCTGTCTGCCCGTTGTACCGAACTCGTAAGTTGCTATCTATTTTCAATTATAACTCGAAAACTAAGCTTCGGACAAAATTTTGTAAAAAGAAAAATTGTCTCAGAATTCGCTCAAGAATATGGCATTCCAAGGATATCAGGTTATTTTGAATCACCCTATATAGATATATATATACAAGAAAAGTATCGGACACTAATGCATATATTACGAAACTGTGACAGAATGACTTTAATTTACAGATTAAACATATTTTCATGTAAGAAAAAATTTTTCAAAGGTATTGCTGCATCTCACTTTAAAATGTCATTGTACCGTAATAGCAAAATTCACAAAAACCTTATAAGTCGTAGATGAGTTCCTACGATATAACGTAAGGCACTGTTGAAATCGTTGTATAAATTCAGATCAAGTAATCGAAATCTAAAATTTTTTAACTGGCTGCAAATATGAAAGATCGTAAACATAAAGAAAGTATCCACTGACACGTAAATTATTATATTAAAACACATCGATATAAACTGAGCAGCAAGTGTAAGCTCAAACTGCGGACTTTTATCTGTGTCATAAAAATAATAGGCTTGTATCGGTAATACTCTGTCTCTGTCCGTGAGATTTGTTAAATGTCTAAAATGTAACCCAAATGATGGTAAAACAGTAAGTATGATGATTGCGAATGTGCCCATACTATATTCATAGATTGTAAATAATCGTGCAATTTGCGCTTGTTTTATCATCACATGTCTTTCTGCGTCTACACTTAAATACATCCAATCTTCGGCCATCATGTTCACGATGAGTAAAATAGCTTAAAAATAAACAAAAAAGTAATAAAATCAGGTATTTTTTGTGTGATAATATAGAGCTCTTTATAAATAATTAGCTATTAATTTAATACAACAAAAACATTAACAATACACTGTACATTGTGAAAATAACGAAAACGTAATTTCTGATCTCTGATGTCAGCAAAACAAATATCACCAGATCAAAATATACAATATGATTAAAAAGAACAACCAAATATCGTAAAACAAATCAACAAAAAATTTTAATGCACTAAAAAAATTCTTAAAATATAAACGTGCAACATAAAAGAAGGTTATAAAGTAAACATTTTCAATACATTCAGGAATTAAAAAAGTCTCTTTATTCTTTGATCTTTTTAAATAATTTTAGACATACCTGATCGTTTCCATCGCATAATGACAAGCTTCAGACATGACAATATTATCGGTATTGTCAGTTGCAAATTGTCTATCATAAGTATCATATCACTCCAAATTCGTACGAGAGACCATATAAGAGGTATAACAAGTACCAAAGTAATCATAATAAAAATAAAACTTGCCAGAATATTGGAAAAAAAGTTATTCGTATTTGTTTCTTCCTGATTTTCGGGCCATAAACCGATCATCTTGAAAGCACACCGGTTTAGTTTAATAGCCCACACAAAATCTAAAAAATTTCAATATAAAAAAATTAGATATTGATATTGGATATTTTAAGTACATCAAAAATTTGAATATTGGGATCATGAAATATCTACAACTTTATGACTATGTTCTAACAATTTATAATTTTATAGAATAAGTTCATTAAAAAAATCTGAAAATTTATGTAGTAATCTTGATGTTATATCAACTAGTAACTCAATTGAAAAATTTGAAAACTTGAACATTTGAAAATTTTATATCTAAAGTCATAGTATAGCAGTAAAATTTTATTATTCATTAATAAAGATAAAGATATAACGAAAAAATGAAATTAATTCAAACATATATGTAAAAACTTATTATATTATGTAGTATTTTTTATTTGAATTCATAAATTAAAAAGTCTAAAAAAATTTCACAATATATAGAACATGTCACTATATCACAAACATTCGATACCTTTATAATTTGAACGTTTAGAAGCCATGTCGGGAAATATTGTGAAGAAGCACACTTCTCACTAATCTATTAGACAGATGATCTATACGCATGCTCGCAGTGCGAATGCAACAACTCGGTTTGCTTCATTAAATATTAATCAAGCTATTCCCTAGTTGATAACAGTTCTCCGTTTGTAAAAAATTTTTACCACAAGAACAAGTCGTAAAAAGTATCATTAGTCTAACGAG